AAATAAAAATAAAGAATTAGCTTAATTTTTAAAATAATCTTTCTGATTTATTCAGTTACTCTCTTCATCTAGCTGTAATCCACTGAATTAAATCATAATGAATTCCATCAAGTCATTTTATTACACCAAATTTATCAGCGAACTTTTGATAGAAAACAAAACCGAACTTTTTACCCAGTAGATTTAACCCTGGAAAGGATGGACATTTTTGTGAAAGGCCACACATTTGCTCTCCTCATTTAGTTTTTCATCTTTATGGTCACTTTTTGGACTTTCTTGAGTTGAAGTTGTAGCGCTTTTCATAGAAGAAGTTTCTTTGGAAAATAGTTTTGTTGATGTTGTTACGAATGGCATATATTACCTCTTTTGCGTCTGAGCAAAATTGTCTTGTAAACATTTCGCTGTATGTACGAAAATGTCGCCGTATTGACTTACAACAGGCAACAACACTTCTTTATAAAATCTATTTAGCCTTCTATATGAGAAAAGAATGGGTTTATCACTTGAGAACTCATGATTACGTCAAAAACAAGAAATGTATAGAGTGAATTTCACTTAAGATGCAATATACAAAAATATATTTCTATAGAAATCAGGGCATACCTACTTACTTTGTTGTCCCACATAAAATGCTTCTAGTTCTAGGTCTAATGTTAGTTCTAGTGATAGTGGTAGGTAGCGCTAGTTAACATAAGTTACTATGTTGCATATTTCTATTGAACTGAAACTAGAACTGCTAAGATCTATAACATCAACAACTTACAAAAAAAACGAATTCATCAAATTTTCATGTTTTCGTATTTTTCTCGATAATAACGCATCTAAGAGTAATAGTGCCAGAGAGCAATATTGTTAAGAATAAAATTTACAGCAACTCTCGATCTAAAAGATTTTTTATAACATGCTTCGATTCCCGAGTGTTACCATTAATAACTTGAAAAAGCAATGAATTCATCAAATTTTCATATTTTCGTATTTCTCTCGATATCTATGCATCTGAGAGCAAAACAGCAAGAGAGCAATGTTGTTAACAATAAAATTTGCTACAACTTTTGTTCAAAAAGTTTTTTTATAACATGCTTCGATTCCCGAGTGTTACCATTAATAACTTGAAAAAGCAACGAATTCATCAAATTTTGATATTTTCGTATTTCTCTCGATATCTATGCATTTGAGAGCAAAGCTGCAACAGAGCAATGTTGTTAACAATTAAATTTGCTACAACTTTTCTTCTAAAAGTTTTTTTATAACTAGCTCCAATTCCCGAATGTTACCATTAATAACTTGAAAAAGCAATGAATTGATCACATTTTCATATTTTCGTATTTCTCTCGATATCTATGCATTTGAGAGCAAAGCTGCAAGAGAGCAATGTTGTTAACAATAAAATTTGCTACAACTTTTCTTCTAAAAGTTTTTTTATAACTCGCTCCAATTCCCGAGTGTTACCATTAATAACTTGAAAAAGCAATGAATTCATCAAATTTTCATATTTTCGTATTTTTCTCGATATCTATGCATTTGAGAACAAAAGTGCAAAAGAGCAAAATTGTTAAGAATAAAATTTGCTACAACTATTGTCCAAAAAGATTTTTTAGTAATATGCTTAGATTCCCCAGTGTTACCATTAATAACTTGTAAAAACAGCAAATTCATCAAATTTTCAAATTTTCGTATTTTTCTCGATATCTATGCCTCTGAGAGCAAAAGTACAAGTGCAGAATATTGT